GGGCCACTGCCCCTGAGCGTGTCCCTGCGCCCAGCTCAGCGAGGGGACGCCTTCTGCACCATCAGTCCAGGATGAGTAAGGACACAGGTGGTGTGCATAAGAAATGGCATCCGTGTTTGTCTCAGTCGCTGCCCCACCTCTGTCCTTGCATACCTTAAGTCCTCTATGGAAGAAGGTGAGGCTCACCAAATAAGTACTGCTTGTCCATTCTTTCTCTGTGTGGCAGCCACCCCAGAACTGGCCAGTGAAGTGAGTCAGGACCGTGCCCAGCTGTTACGGTGCCTCTTCCTGGCTAGCCACAGATCACTGTGGGCAGCTGGGCTCCGTTTACCCCCTCTCCCGCCTCCGCCCCCGGGGCGCGCTCTCCGTGTGCCTGTGAGCACCCCTGTGCTTGGGTGGCGTGTGTCCAGCAGCGTGTCTCCCTTGCACACCGTAGTGCAAGGACACACAGACATGCAAGCAAGTGTGTGTGGTAGGGTGGTGGTGCTGGACCATTTCTGTTACAGCTGCCACTCCAGGGTGTGGGCCACGTGACAGATGCTGCCGGGCAGCTCCCCAATGGGTGTCTGCCGAGGGCTCAGGGATCCCTGGACTCAGAGCTGCTGATTAGGGGAAGGGTGGGGTGGGCTGATGGTGGAAATCAGAGAAGGGTGTTGGGACCAAGAGCAGATTGCGGGGGAGAAAAACATGGGGCTTATTGAGAGGCCTTGTGTTCCCCACCCCCTTACGATACAAGCCTGCTTCCTTCACCTGGTTCTGAGTCCGTTTGGGTCAGATTTTCAGTTCTTTGAGGCTGATTTCCAAATCCTTTTCACGTGCCTTCTTTTTCGCTCCTTTTCACTGGGAGTGATGGAAGTAGCAGAAAATTATAGGTGCTAGAGGAAAAAAAATCACAGGGAGTGTAATTCTGAAAGTTAAAATCAGGTGGGGGTCTCAAGGCAAATGAGTTGTTAAACGCAAAAGCAATTATACACGGAACGGTTAGGTCTCAGCCACTGTTTCGGTGGGCAAGCTTGAAAATAAGTAACTCTCGTAATTAGCTAAAGAATTTCCCACTGCGAGAGCTTTTGAAAATATCAAGGTCTATATAAAAGAAAAATAGTCATCAGAGGGAAAAGGAACTTCAAGAAAATGGAAATGTTTATTGCAGAAAGAATGAAAAACCAGATTCCTCTTTTTCACACACAGCTTTTCAGCACCATTATCAGAACCTCTTTTAATTCCTATCAGACTGTTGGGAAAGATAGACAAGGACAGACTGTGACAGGTGGAGGAGAGAGGTTGAGAGAATGGGGACCCCGCCTAAGTCGTGCAAATGGTCGGGAATAGACCCAGCGCATTCATCGGACCACAGTGCTCTGCGCAGAGAGCTTCACCGACTAAAAAGTATTTTATCCCCAGAGGTGGGAAGTCAACAGGACTGCTGGTCAGACTTCCCCTGAGAGGGCACATGCAGGTTCCTTGTGGTCCAGGCTGGTCTGGCCAGCAGGACCGAGGCCACGTGGCTGCGGCTCCTCTCCCATCACACCTCGGTTCAGCTCGCAGAGACACCTGTCGGGTTTTGACGAGGCAACGTGTGTTTGATCCTCCAGCGGTTTTGTGCTTTTCTAAAACGGCTGAAGTAATGTCTTTCCCAGTAGGTAGATAACGAGCTTCACCTCTTGGCCGTCTCAAAGACCGCTGCTCTGGTGCCCCGGGAACCTGTACAGTTTTTGTCATGTAATTATTTCTCATCAATTGACTTGTTTCTTCCTGGACTGCGTGAGTTTTTCCAGATTCCTGTCTTGTAGAATTTGGTTCCCCCAACCCTGAGGATACCAAGTCTGAAAGTAGACCTGTTGTATCAGCTGGTATTTTATATAAAACTTGCATTACGTTTTCCAAACAGTGGTTATTTCCCCGAGGGCAGAGGCTGTCTTGTGTTCATTTCTGTGTCTCCAGAGAGGGCCTGGCACAGTACGTGGCACAGAATGGGAACTCGGGGGGCCGCATTCCTCTGAGCAGTGAAAGTCTAATGCAGATGTTAGCTCCAGTACGATACTGCCGCCTGCCTGAAACCAAAGTAGGTCCTAATTAGCAGCATATCTGATTGGCAATATTATATGATTCTGACTATTTAAAAATTAGGAAGTAGCTCTTAACCTGAGTACCGTCGATCGACGAACTATTTCCAAACATAGGGTCTGTGCAGAAATAGAAATAAAAGGGCTTCTTTGTGAAATGTAGGGGGCCACTTTACCAACTTGAGGTCTTTCAGGAGAGGAGCCACCCTGTGGTTTGGGTTTCTCGTGGGGACCCTGAGCAGAGTGCTGGGAGGAGAGGGTGTCTTCAGGTCTGGCCTGTTTCCTTGCTCCTTAAGTCCTGTGAGGCATCCGTGCCATCCTGGGTGCTCTCTTCCTTACACAGCCTTTGGATGAAGGGCACATAAAGAGTAGTTTTCCGGTCTTTCTTTACGGAGCACCTGCAGGACCTTTTTGTGAGGAGAAACCAGCTAATTACAGTGCTTCTGTTGGCTGGTTGTTTGACCTTAGTGTCGTGAGGCCTCAGGTATCTCATCTGTAAAAGAAACGGGTGTTGATTTATTCGCTCTCGAACATGTCTTGAGCTCCTGTGACATTTCCGAGACTGTCGAGGCCCCGGCAGAACACAGGTGAAGCTGACACAGGGCGCTCGACTCCGTGCTCGCTGCTGAGTGAGGGAGGCTGTAAGGTGGTCTGTGACAGTTCAGTGAGGAAGGTGCTGGGACGTGTCCAGAGGCGATGTAGTGGTGGGTGCCCCGCTGAGACCGTGGGGGCCGGGGTGGCTGCTCTGAGCTGAGGGTGGAAGCAGGAGTAGGAGTTAGGCGGGTTGGTGCAGGTGACCTGACGCGTCACCAGCTTCTTGTTAAAGGCTATTTGAGACTCTCATGCTATCTATGTTTCTTCCCATTAGTCTTAGTTTTTTCCTTCAGGTCACATAGAATAACTGATCTTTATTATTCACATCAACCTTTTGTTTTAACGCATTTGAAGATATCATTGTCGTTCTTAAACATTCTCTTCCTGGCCGAGAATGTCCCGGTTCTCTATCCTTCATGATACTTATGATTGTAGACTGCAGTGTGCTTTTTGCAGTGCAGTTTATACGCTGCACGGAGCTGACCACTGGGTGGCCTTTGCAGGCTGGAGGAATTCTTGCCTTGCTCTACAGATGAGGAGACCAGGGTGCTGGTGGGGCAGACGTTCTCCTGGAGTCATTCAGCCAGGAAGCCAGGGTGCTTTCCTGCGCCACGCGCTCTTGCTGTGTCTGATCTCAAGACCTGTTTAATCCTCTTCAGCACACTTGTTATTTTGTTACGCCCCTTTCCCTGTACCCTGGACTGCTTTCCTTACGAGATGTTTTATTCGTGGCCCTGTGTTGTCCAGCTGGTGCGTAGCATACGAAGTCTCCGTCCCCCCCAGACACGTTCTCTGTTTTTTGTTTTTTGGGTTTTTTTTTTTTTTTGCGGTACGCGGGCCTCTCACTGCTGTGGCCTCTCCCGTTGCGGAGCACAGTCTCCGGACGCGCAGGCTCAGCGGCCATGGCTCACGGGCCCAGCCGCTCCGCGGCATGTGGGATCCTCCCGGACCGGGGCACGAACCCGTGTCCCCTGCATCGGCAGGCGGACTCCCAACCACGGCGCCACCAGGGAAGCCCTGTTCTCTGTTTCTGATAGAACTCATTTCTGAGTCTGAAAAGCCCTTGTGTTCCTTAGCAGGCGCTCATTGTGCGGGCACACACAAAGCTCAGGGTTTACTGCTTCATAAGGTGCTTATAAGGATGAAAATTCAGATAACGCTTACAAAGCATTCAGCGCGCGGCACCAGTAGTGTTATTGTTTATCTTTATTATTAAACATCACTAAGAATTTCTGTGAACTGCTGTTCGGCCACGCCATAGTGCGCTACAGGCGCAGAGTAGGAAATAAGTCCCGAAACTCCCTCTTTCTTACATCACTGAATGTTCGTTTTGGAAAAGAAAATTTGGAGGTCATTTCACCCACTTTCCTCATTTTTTGGATGAGGAAACTGAGGCCCAGCTTTCCGGAAGACTTACAGCAAGTTAGTGATATTTGTGTAATTAGTGATGACATTGTGAAACCAGCAAAGAGGGCTGTTTCCTGTTCTTAGTGAATGGGAGTGAGAGAGAAGGAAAAAAAGATGCCCTTTATTTTTGTTTTTTGTTTGTTTGTTTGTTTTGTAAATTAGGGGTCCAAGATTCCAAACAGATGTATCATTACCAGCTCTGGATGAGTTTGACCTGTGACCTCACATGGTTTTTGGTTTTTTTAAAAAATATTTATTTATTTGGTTGTGCTGGGTCTTAGTTGAGGCAGGCAGGCTCCTTAGTTGCAGCTCATAGGCTCCTTAGTTGTGGCTCGAGGGCTCCTTAGTTGTGGCTTACCTGCTCCTTAGTTGCAGCACATGGGCTCCTTAGTTGTGGCATACAAACTCTTAGTTGTGGCATGCATGTGGGATCTAGTTCCCTGGCTAGGGATTGAACCCAGGCCCCCTGCTTTGGGAACGCAGAGTCTTAACCATCACACCACCAGGAAGTCTCTCACATGGTCTTAAAGACTGTGTGTTGCTGAAACACAGATCACATTCTTAATGCAGTTTTGGAAAATGTTCAGCCTAGGATAGGAGCCTGCAGAACAGTGTGCGCACAAGGTCCAGGGAAGCAGGGCCCCTTCTCCGCTGCCCTGCGCCCGCACAGCGTGGTGGAGAGTGGGTACTCAGCAAATGTTTCCTCCCTCTCTCCCGCCCATCTCCCCGTCTCGCCTTTGCCCCTGCTACAGGGAAGGAAGGCTAAGCAGTTTGGCCTTTTGGAGATGAGTACAGCATCTCAGAATCGCCTCGCAGCCCCCTGGCGTCAGGAGTGTCCCTGAAGCCCCACCCTCACCCCTGGGCTCTTGGCTGTTGGAGATGGGTCTCAGCCCTGTGCCGCTCTTCCTTCTTAACCACCGGCTTTCATGTCTGCAGGAACATCCCTGGTTACGTGTGCAGCCGGGTCCGAGGAGCCTGGCCCAGAGGGCCTCACCTCCACCTCCCTGCTGGACCTCCTGCTGCCCACTGGCCTGGAGCCGCTGGACTCGCAGGAGCCCAGCGAGGCCATGGGACTGGGGACTGGCCTGGGAGCCCCTGGCTCTGGCTTTGCCAGCGAAGAGAGCGAAGAGTCCCGCATCCTGCAGCCGCCGCAGTACTTCTGGGAGGAGGAGGAGGTGCTGAACGACTCTAGTCTGGACCTGGGACCCACTGCAGGTAGCACTCTCCCCTAAGATGTGGGCTGCTCACAGCCGCCAGGAGGCCTGGCACAGTGCCAAACAGCCCTTTCCTCCGCCAGATCATCTCCTCTCCCTCTCGACCTGCGTTCACCCTCTGCTGTCCATCTGCACCTCAAAGCCAGGTGTCTGGGCTCTGAGGGTCTTATTGGCCCAGGAGGCCATTCTTACTTTTGTAATACTTAACTTCTGTGCTCACGTAATTCAGTGTAATGCTTATAGGCTGTGCGGTAAAGAATGTTATCCCTGTCTTCAACATGAGGAAGCAGAGTCTGAGAGAGGTGAAAGCACACCTGAGGTCATACAGCTGTCGAGATGATCAGTGCTGATTCAAGCCGAGGTCTGAATCCAAGACCTTGGAAGGTCTCGGGTTTTGTTTGTCTTTTCCCTCTTCTGTGCTGTATTGTCTCTGTTGAAGGTTCCTGGAGGTCAGCAGATCCCGTTTAAGGTTCCTGGAGGTCAGCAGATCCCGTGTCCCTCCTTGGGTCTTAGAGCCCCACAAGGCATTCTAGGTGCCCTTCCCTCGGCCCTGCACCAGAGCTGGGGTCTGGCTCACAGAGCGAGCCTGAGGCCTGGAGCCAGCAGCGCACGCAGCTGTGGGCTGATCGCAGGTGCAGCAGAGCGTGCTCGCCGTGCTTCCAGCTACAGCAGCTGTGTGAACGTTCTTGGCCGGCAGGAGCCCGTTTTTAAGCACTGGACTGTCAAACTGTGTGTGCACATGCATGGGGTTGGGGTGTTCCAGAATTTAGCACTGATTTTCCTTTTTTAAATATATAGTATTTTGGGGCTTCCCTGGTGGCGCAATGGTTGAGAGTCCGCCTGCCAATGCAGGGGACACGAGTTCGTGCCCCGGTCTGGGAAGATCCCACATGCCGCAGAGCGGCTGGGCCCGTGAGCCGTGGCCGCTGAGCCTGCGTGTCCGGAGCCTGTGCTCCGCAACGGGAGAGGCCACGACAGTGAGAGGCCCGCGTACCACACACACACACACACATATATATATATATATATATATATATATACATATATGTATATATGTATGTGTATATACATATACATATAGTATTTTGGACTTATGTTCTGTAATTACAAAAATGATACATGAAAACTGTAGAAAATATGACAAATACAAAAATAACACAAGGAAGAAAATCCACCCATGACGTCAGAACTGAAAGATAATTAGTGCTAGTAGTTTGGGGTACATCCCTCCAGTCTCTCTTATATGCAGATTGGAATCATTTTTTCCACTTAAAATATTTCTGAAATTTATTTTCACATCATTAACTATCTTTTATAACTTGGTTTTCAATGACTGCGTAGTGTTTCTTCATGTAGATCATGACCCTCAGTATGAAACGGTTCCCTGTTATTGAATATTTAGTTTGTTTCCAGTCTTAATGATGCTACAAATATCCCTATATATTTTTGCACTTTTCTGATTGTTCCTTAGGATAAATTTCTAGAGTAAAATTGCTAGGTCTAAAGATGTATCAATGAGCGTCCCACCCAGAAACAGAAGACACAATCAAAGTAAGGTAATCCAAGGAGGTTGTGGTTTGTTTTTTTGTTTGTTTTTTGACAGATCCTCCTCAGGTTTATTTATACAAATAGCACAGGAGGACACCAGCCCCATGCAGACAGCAGCCCACCGGTCACACCAGTCCTTCTGTCCTCACGTTGGCAGATAAAGGCCTCCACTCTGTAGCCTCTGTGGGGGCCTGGGCACCCTTGGGAGCCGGAACTGGAGCCGCGGCTGCACCTGCCGCTGCAGCCTTGGCCTGGGACTTTGGCCAGCAGAGCCTGAGACCCTTGGCGATGGGGCACGAGCACGTTTCCTGAGCTTGGGGTGAGCAGTGTAGGCAGGTTGACTGAGCTTGCGGGCGCGGCCCTTTGAGATCTTGGGCTTGACCTCCTCGGGCTTTACGAGAGCCTTGATATCCTCAGCAGCGCACTCACGGCCTTGGCGTTGCTGGCCTGCATCTTCTTCTGGCCCTTCTTGTGCTTCTTGGCAAAGTGTGTGTTCCTCAGGAACTTGGGGTCCACCCCCTTAAGAGATTCGTGTCGTTGTGATTGGGGTTTCTTGATGCCGTTTCTGTGGCATTTTCAGGACTGGTTGTGCGTGGTGTGGTTCTTGGGCTTGGCCACGTTTGCACCGGGGCCCGCGGATCCCGAAGCGCCTGGGGCTAGAAGAGACCAAGGAGGTTTATTTATAGACCAGTGTACTTACCAGGGGATGGCAAACCCAGAGGAGTTCAGGGATGCCAGCAGAGGAGCGCTCAGCGCCCCACACCCACAGGACAAAGAAAGGGACACATGACAGGAGCCTGCGAGGACAGAGGGGTGGGGAGCAGTGGTCCTGACACGCGCAGTGAGGCGACGGGGAAGAAAGTGGAAGATAGATGCCCGGCCTCTGGCTCCTCCCGTCTCCTGCCAGGGTCCCCGTTGCTCTCCTTCCCCTGCCTCTGTGGAGGAGTCCAGGCAGGAAGCAGGGATGTGTCCCGGTTCGTGTGATTCACTGGGTCGGTCCCCGGGCAGAGGACGGGGTGGAGAAGGGTGGGGAGTGCGCGTGGGAGTGGGTGTATCTGACACAGAGGATGAGGATCTTTGCACAGGCTCCTGTTCCGCATTTCCCAGGTGACCTCCAGAAAGGTCGCTCCAGCTTGCGCACCCGTCAGAGAGGGAAATGCATGCCAGATTTTGACCCCTTCCCATCACTGAATTTTGTCACTTGGAGATTTTTGTCAATTTGATAGGCAAAATTATAATGGCCTTTGATTACTAGTAAATTTTAACTGAAGCATCGGTAAGTGAAACCCGTACACACTGAGTATATTATATTCATTGTGACCATTTATCTTTTTTTTTTATTTGAAGCAAGGGCAAGTAAGAGCAGGCTTTGGAGTCGGGCAGATTCCAAAGTTCCAGCACTGCCATTCAGTAGCTGTGTGACTTTTGGCAGGTAACAACCTAAGCCTCAGTTTTGTCTTGTAGGAAATAGTATCACAGTGTCCTGAGGTTTAAATGCAATAGTACGTTTAAAGTGCTTAACACATCGTTAAGTACTCTGAAGATATTAGCTAGTATTATTACTTTTCCTTTTTTTTTCTGTTGAGGCTTTAATTTTTTTATCACTGTACAAATCTTCTTATGAAAAAGATACAACCTTTTGACAAAAATAGAAAATTTTTTTCCGGTTTAGTAATTTTATTTTTATTATAGTAACATTTGACATACATAAGTGAGGATTTTTATAAGCTTGGACAATCTTTCTTTTGAAATGTTTTCATGTGTTTTTCTTTATGTTTAGAAAAGCCTGTCCCTCCGTGAGATAGACGCTCGTTTATGTCTTGTATTCTTTTTCAGCTTAAATTTTACTTGTAACTTGCTGCCAGCTGTCATCTGTTTGCGTTGTGGTGTAGGGTGAGGATCGAGCTCATCTCCCCATGTAGCAGGCCTGTAGCTACAGCAGCGTTCCTTGATAAATCTGTCCTCTCCTCGTTGAAAAGCAGTGCACTTTCCCCTCGCGCTAGACAGTGCTGTGTACTGGGGTCTTCCCTTTTGTCCAGACTCGTGGGATTTTAGTGTGAGAGTAGCCGTCATCGTTCGAGAGCCTCGGTCTGGAGGGAGCAGCTGTGTGCCACCTGTCCTCGGATCCCAGTGGGATGCCCCTGGGCCTGGATGGGCTCCGTTTCGTCTGCCCACTGCCCCACCCCCGTGCATCCCCCCTTCTTTTTCTCTCATGTCGTTTCTCTTCTCCCAGTGGCTTCTCTGGGACTCACTGAGTGTGGCCAGGTCCTCATGCCAGCTCCATGCAGGTGTGTTTCCTGTGTCTGCTGTTCACGCCTGATAGTTGGGGACGTGCATGCCCTGGGAGTGGGGGGCGGGGAGGGCTTAGTCCTTGCTCCTTTCCTGCTGCTCTGTTTGCCCACCGTCCTGCCCTTTCCTCAGCTCAGTCTTCTCCAACACCCCGAGGAGATGTGTGCAGAAAGGGGGCCAGGGAATAAAGGCCAAACGTCTTGGCGCTGCAGAAAACGCCCTTGACAGTCTGGCCCAGCCTTATCCCCGGCCCCATCTCCTCCCCTCCTGCGACTGCATCGTCTCATTAGCCTGTTGTCCGCCCTGCATGGCAGACGTAGGACTGATGCACAGGGACGCTAAGTGCTTTGCCCAAGGTCACCGCTGGTGCTGGTGCGCGATGGGGCTGCATTGAGAATCAGTGTCTTCTTACTGACAGTGGCTCAGGCCCATCCCCCAAGCCCGCGACGCCCTTATACCCAGTCCCACCTGCTCAGCGTGTTCCTCTCCACCCCGACTGCCTGCTGGGCTGTGTCCTGCTTCAGCACTTATCTGGAGAGATGCGGCCTCTGAGAGGCTCTTCCAGCTCCCCCAGGTGACGGGGCCACTGCAGGTGGCTGGGCTGGTGGTGCTCTGGCCCAGGGGCTGAAGTCCAGTCTGTGTACCTCTCAGCAGGCCCTGGGCTGGATGGAAGGCACACCGTTTCCTAATTCATCCGCCAGTGGGGACGTCCTTGTGCTGGCGACGGCCCTGAGGTCAGTCTGCTCGTTCCTGCCTCCGTCTTCTCACAGCGCACGATGCTGTGCTCTGAGGACGCGACAGAGGCAAAGCGTTCGGGCTGTGGGGCTGATTTGTACAGGAAGGGATCGTGTGTGCCGCTCCCCCCCGCCCTCTGCTCCCAACCTGGGAAGTCAGAGGCTTCCCGCCAGGGGTCTCTGGGAGGAGGGAGGGCATCACTCGTGGCGTTTGCTGCTCAGGTCGGGGGGGACAAAGAGAGAGGCCTGCTAAGGGCCTGCCAGGGTGGGGAGTCTGCCCAGAGTTCAGTGCCAACCTAGCAGGCCCCTGGGGACGGGGGTCGCTCCATGCAGCAGTGGCTGTGAGGGCTGGGGGCCGTACTGCAGACGGTCCAGCCCCAGGGCAGGTTCTTTAATAACCAGGACATCCGACCCAGGAATTGAATGCCAA